CAGAAAGGGTCCGGGGGCGTGGCCCGGGGACACTCTCCAATGCTAAAGTCAGTATGTGAGAGATAATAAATGTAGAGAGAGAGAGTGAAATCAATTACCCTTAAATGAGGTGGTTGGCTGCTATTTATAGTCCGAGGTGGTTGGTGTAAGCAAGTGTCTTGTCAGTCGCATGTTTGTACATCCCCCCATGATATACGCTTACGGCGGCATTTAATGAAGTGTCAGTGACGACCTGATTGGTATGGATCCTTCCTTACGGGCCGTACGTACCTGCCTCCCGCTGTCGATAGACAGTAATGCCTTATGTCTAGCCCATCTGTTCCTTGGGCCGGCCCATCCTTTGACTTACCTCTATTGGGCTTCTCTCTCCGGGCCGTCTCTGGTTATGTGGACTTTGTTTTAGGTAGCGATCCCCAACGGCCCAACAGATTTGACAGTCACGAACCGAGAAGAAAGACGAAAGCAGAAGACATGCAGCGGAATGATCAGAAGTGGATCGAAGCAGGTCTCAGTCATTGAAATCGATCGGAGAAGAAGACGCGTCCGGTGATTGAACTCCCGGAGCAAGAAGCGTTCGGCGAAGATCGAAAGATGCAGAAGCAAGAAAAATTGAGATCGGGGCAGGAAGGAAAGCGAATCAAGATGGTTGGCGCTTCCTGGAAACTCGAAAATAGAAGAGAAATGAAGAAAAAATGACGAAAATTGATCAAGAACTGGAAGATTTCCGCTCTGCGGGTTTGTTTGGGGGGGAAGAGGAAATATAGAAGGAAGATGGGCGGTGGGGTGGTAACGAAAGGGAGGAGGGTGCTTCAGAAATTTGTATGTTATTTTATTCTATATTTTATTTATTTTTAAAATAAAATATGATGTGGCATATACGTGGCAAATGTGGTTGAGCTGTCGTTGACGTGCGATGATTTAGCATCCTAGTCAGACTAACATTAACCTAACTGATGGAGTTTCTAACACCGTTTAAGTTTCTAACGGAAATGGCTAGATTTGTCACACTACCATCCAATTTTTGGGTTATTTTGTGTTTTCGGATAATTATGGTTATATTTGTCACAAACGTGAAAGTTATGGCTATACGAGTGTATTTTACCTAAAATTTAATAATGCATTTCAAATACCTGCACAACCAATTCACATGTCTTGTTTGCTTCAAGGTTTTCATCGTGGATTCAGTACATAAAATATAATCTTCATCGACAGTGCACATAGTTCATCGTTTTCTCGATGAAGTTAGGAGAGATAAATTAGTGGATCAACGAACCTGAAAATTTCATTTCCAAAAGGTGGGATTTGTGTTAGGGTCTCAAGTACTTGATACCTCTTTACTTTTTCATCCCCACTTATGGAATTGGAATTGGTGTATAGCGAAAATTGTAATAAGGGCAAAAATTGTAACATCCCGAACTTTGAAGGAAGAACAAATCATTCATGTATAACAAAGAATTGCGGGGATCATAAAAGAAAACTCAATTCAGCCATATTGATGTAGATGAGTATACGGGTAACAAATTTCAATAACGGGCGTGTATTGTACGATTTGAAACTGTAAAAAAATCTGAAAGTCATTCTACCGAGATAGGATCCATGAAACCACTTGGAAGCTCCTCACAAGGAGAATAAAATGAAGGGTATTAGGATTTGAACCAATAACCCACTTGTCACCGAGAAGTGAACCAACACTTTAACTAATTTCATTATGCCATAATTTATGATACAAAAGAGCCCAGTCAATTAACAACTGTGTGACGTAGGCATTGCAACAACAACTAGCTTGTTTATGGAGTCGACTTTAGGACTTGAGTTTTTTCATTTCAAAACTATTGTTACTTAGAAGGCCACTCTATTCCTTTACTCCACATGTTGGACAATAAATGAAGAGGCAGACGCCTGGACAAAGAGCTTTATAACAATGGGAAGCTAACTCTCCATTGTTACTTCCGTACATGCACCAAAAGAGAAAAGAAAGGAAGCAAAGAACAGATAACAAAGGTCTATCATAGCCTCTATAAGCCCAACAAAGGTCAACAACCCACACAAACACAATCATAAAGGTCTATCATAGCCTCTGCATATTTTCATTCTCTGGATATCGATTTGTTCATAGACCAATTTGTCAATTTGAAAAAGTCACAAGGCCGCCAATGAAATTACTTCAAGCTTAGGTCATTAAATTCAACCAAGAACCTTCCAAATTCATTACAGAAGTCTTTCTTTTGTGTGAGTGAAACCAGGCTATTCTTGAAACAACAAATCCTAGCTCGTGAAGGAGAAAGGAAGGAGGCTACCTATAAAAGCTTCTAAAGTTGTCATAACTTCCCAAGGATTGTTTCTATCGAACATGTTTTTAGTTACTTCACATGGCGTAAATCTTTTGTATATATATTTTTTATTTTAGGCTCATGAGACTCCATAAATAAAGTTTGACATGACGAGTTTCATCACATCTTTATCAATTGAATTATTTGTTTGAGTGCAATCTCAAAATTTCTTGTATTCTTGGTTATTTCATAGAATTGAGTAGTTAGTTGGCATCGACGCTATCAACCAGATGATCATTTCGACTATAATGGGTAGGTGCTCGGCTTATTCTTTCGCTTTTGTTATCATTTCGACTATAATTTATCTTTTTCTGATTTTTTATGGTTTTTCAAGTGTTAAAGGAAATGGAATGACAAAATTGAAAGTATGCAACATCACATGATTTTTCGAGACAGGTCCCGTGTTCCCTTTTGGATTTTCATCAATAAACTTCACCAATTTTTTACTATTATCGCCCTAATTTAAAGTTAAAAATAACATAATTATAAAAAAGGAAACAAAACAAAAATCGCAAATGAACACACAGGTAAATTCCAAGGTTGGTCACTGGGATTATGGTCATTGAAAATATTTAATTCTAAGAATAGTCACTAAAATTAGTTTAGCAGCCCACGTTTTATCACTCTCCGTTAGTCTCCGCCCAACTCCGTTAATGGAGTCCATTAAGTGCTGACGTGGCAAACGAAATTACCTAATCAGTCGGATTTAAACCAAAAAAATAAAATCCAATCTGCCACATCATTAAAACCAACCCAACCCATGGCACAACCCTTTCTTTTCTTCCCTATATGACCCGACCTAAACCTTTTTTTCTCTATTTGAACCCTTGGCGGTGATATGACCTTGGAGAGTTGGAGTAGCGGGGAGATTCCAGAGAGGTGAACAACGACGACGTCGTATCGACAACAAGGAGAATGTCACTCAGGATCTTGGTCCTTGACCCCTTGCGAGCTGCTCAATCTCGATTTCCCATCCTCCGACTCCAAATACTCCTTCGAATCCTCCATAATCGTGAACAGAAACCGCAGCGGCTCGACGAGATTGTGCAGTCGCATCAGTTCCAATTCCACGCTTTCTTCCCCTCCTCCACCTTACCCGACAGCGCCCTTGAGCAGCAAATCTTTCCCCTCATCTTAGCCGAGTTCGAGGTCGAGTTCAGATGGGAAATGGGGCTTCGGGTTGGGTTTGGCGATGGCGTCCGAGGATGAAGGCTTCTTTCAGTAGACGAGATGAATCAACTCCAAACACAAATGGAGGCCACCGCCTCGTCGGAACTAGACCCGCTGAAACCTGACCCGGACTCCGAACTCTTCTACCCTGAAGACTTCGACAACACTTGCTTCATTCCCTTCATCAGCGCCCATTCAGCCCCGGTCGTAATGGCACCAAAGGCGGCAACGGAGGAGGCTTCTTTTACAGCGGGTCAGAGAGCTCCAATGCAGTCAAAATTGGAATTTTACGTAAAATAAAAAATTGAGGTAAAATCAGAATCGTGGATTAAAATCATAAGATTTTAAGGTTCATATTAAAATAAACACGTAAAACACCATATAGTAATAACAATGCATATAATGAATAACAGTCAAACCACATATAACCTAATTACTTCCAAAGATAAGTTTGTTTGCTAAATAAACACAAATAAATTCATAGATTTATTCATGTACATAACAAAAACACACAAATAAGCAACCTGAAACCTCATAGAAGTCACTTAATCTGGTTAATAGTTAAGATTAGAAAATCAGATAAAATCGTTAGGATCAACATTAACATCCCTCTCACATCAACGTCTCATTCTCACTCAAATAAATTTATAGATTTATTCATGTACATAACAAAAACACACAAATAAACAACCTGAAACCTCATAGAAGTCACTTAATCTGGTTAATAGTTAAGATTAGAAAATCAGATAAACTCATAAAAGCGTTAGGATCAACATTAACATCCCTCTCACATCAACGTCTCATTCTCACTCTCATACTTATAGAATCCTTGTTTATTTTCTTGGGGAATGATATCATTATTCTTAGGTTCACTTGAAACACTTTGACCATTAACTCATTGATTGATGTATTCCCTACCTGGTCGATCAAAGGTTGAGGATATTGGTGCTGGAGGTTTGGTCGATGAACGAAAGCTTGCAATGGAATGGGGAGTGAGCTAATTGCGAGGGTAGTGGGAACAAAATATGAGCTAATTGGGAGGGTGGAGGAAATCGTTGATGGAAGGAGTCTGGCATCGGCGTATGGAAGAGGAAGAGAACGAAAATCAATTGAGGATATTCTATAAATGAGGGTTGTGTTGTTCATTATATTGGGCTGGGGAAGTGAACTTGACCTGCTTCATGGGCAAAACCAGATCTATTCGGCTTGATTTTGCTCTAATTGACATGAACCTTGAAATCGTACAAAATCGTAAAAAGCGTAGATTTTAAAGATTTTAGAGTTTTCTTTTACAGCTGGTCAGCGTGCTCAATTCACTTCGCTATCACTTCCGCGACGGCCGCTCACCGCTCCTCGTACGATGACGACACATGCGACGACGATTTTGACTACGACGGAGGAGGAAGTAGTGTTAATAATGGCAGGAGCCTGATGCAGATGGGGTACGAGTTCTAATTCTCGACGAGATTCAAATATGTTGGGCCGGGTCACACCGAATCCATGAGCTCGACCGACGAGCTGTTCTTGAACGGCCAGATCGGCCCATGAAGTTCTCCACTCACCTCGAGAAGCCCCAAGTCCTCACGCCATTACTGGATTTCAACGAGGAGGAAGAAGGAGATCTAGAGCTCGGTAATAAGAAAGGATTTCACCGTGAGTCAAATAATGAAGAAGAGAGAGGTTTGGGTTATGGGTTTGGTGGTTTTAATGATGTGGCGGGTCGGGTTTTATTTTTATTGGGTTAAATCCGATTGATTAGGCGATTTCGTTTGCCATGCCAACACTTAACGAACTCTATTAACGGAGTTGGACGTAAACTAAGAGAGAGTGACCAAACACAGACTGTTAAACTGATTTAGTGGTCATTATTAAAGTTAAATATTTCTAGTGACCAAACGTAACATTTCTAGTAATCACAGTGACTAAACTTGCAATCTACCCCCGAACACACCGAACAAAAACCACTCCTCCCTCTCTAAGCTGCCAACGTCCGCCGCCTGCACCCAATTCCGGAGGTTGCCGCTGTCGTTCTCCTCTAGCAGCGCACTCGCTACCACAGTCTCTCCTTCCGGAGGTTGCCGCCCGTTTCAGGTAATGACGATGTAGTAGTCGATAGATATAATTGTTATATTCGTCCCTATTCATATCTAAACCTTTGTGTCTACTCTCTTTGTCGCTTGTAATTCCCAGCTTCTACTTTCTAGGGCTTTAGACTGAGAAGCCGAGTTGTTACTTGCGCTTTCTTCTTCTCCGTATCTCAGCTGTTCGTTTGAGCTCTGCTACTAATATGGCCGCGGGTAGTGGCGGCAAGGACCAGTCGCATAAAGCCCACAGGTCCAGTCAAGCGGGTGCTTCCTCGAAGAGTCACAAAGCAAAGGCGAGGAAGGCCGGGGCTAATGGTGCAGCAGTGGTGCGTGGAGGATGGAACCCTAATCTCGCAGGGAATGATGATATGGCCCGGGCAGGTAGAGGGAAGAAGAGGCAGCGTGAGGGGCAAGGTGCAGTGGCCTCGCAGGAATCGGACAAGCCTAAGCAGCCATTAACGAAGATGGAAAAGGTAGATAGAAAGAAGAGGCGGCGGCTTGGAGAGGATAGTGCTCTGGCGGAGCAGAAGAGACAGAACCCTAAGGTGCCTTTTCGACATCCATGATTTGCAGGATAATTGTATTACTTCAGCATCCTGCCATTTTTGTTTAGTCACTCTTTGAGGTCATTGTTTAGGCTTTTGCGTTTACTTCAAGTGGGAAGGCAAAAAAGATGCAGTCGCGGGCTGTGGAGAAAGAACAGCGCAAACTTCATATACCGAGCATTGATCGGACTTATGGCGAGCCAGCTCCTTATGTTGTTGTTGTGCAGGGGCCTCCTAAGGTGCATATGTCATTTTTGTTACCCCCCTTTTCATGGATATAATCGATCATATCATCATTTGGTACTCTTAGCTTTTGTTGTTTCTGCTGGATGTCACCTGGGTGAGGCAGTATTCATAAGAAACATAAACTACCAGCATGTTTAGCAACTGTGTTCTTGATTAATGAACGTACCTCTATAATTACATTGGAAGAAGCTTGTTTGTTGACTCTTATTCGCACTCCTGGAAAAAAAGTAATTACTGTTGCATTTCTGGAGTTCGAGAGCTGATTTGGGCTGTTCTACACATTTGGTGGCAGGTTGGGAAGTCACTTCTGATCAAGTCTCTCATTAAACATTACACAAAGCATAATCTGCCAGAGGTTCGAGGCCCAATTTCTGTTGTCTCAGGTTTGCATTTGAATCGTTCTTCTATCTTATGCTACTGATATGATATGGTTTGCTTGTCACATGATTTCCCATAATGTTTGTTTCCGAATATGTCAGGTAAGAAGAGAAGGGTCCAGTTTGTGGAATGCCCAAATGACATCAATGGCATGATAGATGCTGCCAAGTATGCTGATTTAGCTTTGCTTTTGATAGATGGAAGTTATGGCTTTGAGATGGTGGGTTATCTCATTACTGATAGTTGCCTCTATCATTTACATTTTCATGGTTGATACTGCCTATTTTTCATGTAGCTCTGTTTCCTTCAAGTATACCTAGAATGATGTGATGCTTCATAAAAAAATTTAAAGTTTGTCATCTTGCTTAAGTATACCTGGAATGCTAAAATGCACGTCTTTATAGTATTTCTAAAGTCCTTCGGCAGTCATAGCTTCTTACAACTGATAGTTGCCTCTATCATTTACATTTTCATGGTTGGTACGGCCTATTTTTCATGTAGCTCTGTTTCCTTTAAGTACACCTAGAATGATGTGATGCGCTATAAAAAATTTAACAGTTTGTCATCTCACTTAAGTATACCTGGAATGGTAATGGTAAAACGCACGTCTTTATAGTATTTCTAAAGTCCTGCGGATGTTATAGCTTCTTACAACACAGAGTTATGACTTCTAAAAACTGATGAACCAACATACGTAGTTGAACCGCATGCCATTTGGTTCCTCGTTATTGGGGTTTTCCCACTTAGTGATGTATCTGCACGCTCTTTGTACTATTGCACTGTTTAACAGGGGTTTTCTCAGACTACACCTTCACTTTGCATTTTTACTAGTCCATTTTTCCCTGTCTTTTATATTTCTCTAGTTTTTTTTAATGTATATCAATGTTTGTACTCATGTGGTTAACTTAATGTTGCAGGAGACATTTGAGTTTCTTAATATCTTGCAAGTGCATGGATTTCCTAAGGTTATGGGAGTCCTTACGCACCTTGATCAATTCAAAGACGCGAAGAAATTGAAGAAAACTAAAGAGCGGCTTAAGCATCGTTTCTGGACTGAAATATATGATGGAGCCAAATTGTTCTATTTGTCTGGGCTGATTCACGGGAAGTAAGTCTATAAACACCTACTCTGTTTGTGTTGCCTGGTAGTCTAGCATACATAATATCACTTTTAAGTGCATGTTCTGTTCTCTTCATTCTAACAAGTTGAATGAATAGGTACCCCAAACGAGAGGTCCACAATCTTGCTCGATTTATTTCTACCAAGAAATTTCATCCATTGTCTTGGAGGACTTCTCATCCGTATGTTTTGGTTGATCGGTTTGAAGATGTAACACCACTGGAAAGAGTGCGTGAAAACAGCAAGTGTGACAGGAATGTGACTGTCTATGGCTATTTGCGGGGTTGCAACTTAAAAAGAGAGATGAAGGTATGCTACCATTAGCTTCTTTGTCCTTCAGTTTACTTAAAAAGAAATAGTTTAAATCCGCGGAGTCAGAGAAAAGTATTTATTTTCTAAACTGAATATAGGCATCGATTGTTTTAAAAGGTGCCTAATGCTTTGTGGCTCTTACCAATTTTACAGTAGGAATATATATCTTCAGCTGGAGCTAATTTTTGTGTCCCTTTCAGTAGGGATTGGTTTTTTGCTGGGGAGGCTTGTGCCGGAAGTTTTTTTTTGTCTTATCTGCCAGCATTTCAATTTTGTTTTTAATCATAGAACCTTGTCTTCAGGTGCATGTCGCTGGAGTTGGTGATTTCAGTCTGTCTGGTGTCACTGCATTGCCTGATCCTTGCCCACTGCCATCGGCGGCAAAAAAGAAGGGACTGCGTGACAAGGAGAAATTATTCTATGGTCCTATGTCCGGGCTTGGGGATCTGCTTTATGACAAAGATGCTGTCTATATAAACATCAATGACCACTTTGTTCAGTTTTCTAAGGCCAATGATGAAGAGGGGGAAGTAGAAAACAAAGGTTCGTTACAGTATCCTATCAATGTCAGGGTTATTGCTTTTGGTTGAATCTGTGTATCCTCTTCTCTACATATTCCTCTTTGACTTTATAGATCTTTCTGTATCTAACCCCTTTATATGACCTTGATTCCACGCTAGCCCAATGATTGCTGGCATCTTAAGAAAAAATGTTTTCCCAGAACTTGAAAAAATGTTTAGTGTGATGAGATTTGTTGATTATCTTGGTCCTTCCTGTTTCTGTAACTAGGGATAAGAAATTTAAACATACTGTCCTTAGTGATGTGTTGCCAAAGATGTTTTAACTAGGGTCCCTTGTTTTCACTGTTTGTTTTATTCTCTCTTCATTCTCTAGATAGCCATGACGTATAACCAAGATTTTCATTGCACTTAATAAAATGTATGATGTATAATCCTTGTCTCCTATGGTAGTAAGTAATTTCATTGTCATTGAAAAATATCTATGTGCTTCTTTCATGCCAGGAAAGAACCAAGATGTGGGAGAAGCTCTGGTTAAATCCCTGCAGAATACTAAGTATTCACTTGACGAGAAATTGCAAGAAAGCTTCATTTCCCTTTTCAGTAGAAACAAGAACCTTTTACCTGAACATCAGGGCAGTAATAATAAGATTGAGGATCATATGATCGATATGGAAGCTGCAAAACAAGGTGATCTGGTGGAAGAAACTGAACCTGATGGGCCTACCAAAAGCGATACTGAAGATTCTGATGGTTCAGCATCCTCAGACAACAATGATGCCGCTCCAGAAAAGCTAGCTTTCACTGAGCATGTTGAACTTCATGGGGGGAGGTTAAGGAGAAAAGCTATGTTTGAAAATGACTATGATGACACAGAGAAGGTAGATATTGTCCTCGGTTACATGTTTTATGTTGATTTGTTGTCAGATTAATCTCATGTGCTCTCAGGTTGTAGGTGTCCATCCACATGCTGTCTTGCACAATCTTCTGCTATAAGCATGTGTAGAAAACTTCACAAGATTATATCATCATAAAAGACTTCTTTTTAACTTATTGAATTTTTAGTGTTGAAGCTGTCTTTCTGATAGCGAAGTTATTTGTGAATTTAGGACTCTCTTGATGGGATCGAAGATGATCATGATGGTGACACAAAAATTTCAGATGATGATGTATCGTCCTCGGATTCAGATTCTTCGGAAGAAGATGGGGAAGTTGAGAAACTTGATGGTATTTCCTTTTCACTCACTTGCTAATATTAAGTTGTTTTTGTCATTGCTTAATGAAAACCTTCGGTACCATTTCTGCACCAGTGATGGCATTAATCTTGGTTTAACTAACTTTTTCTTTGATTTGGTATGAGAAAAACACTTCAATTGTGTTATTTCTGTACTTACTGATTAAGTTGGTGGCATATGGTATACTACCGGATTATTTTTCATGACTTGAAAAGGGAATTGGTGACTGCTGATTTACTTGGACTTTTAAATCTTACAGAAACTTTATCCAGGCTTCCTTGATTAGCAAGGGATAATGTTTTCATCA